GGCAGCCATTGGGGGGTCTGGGAGAGCAGAGGGTGGGCCAGCAATTGGGGGGCTGCCATGGGGCATGTGAGTCTTGTGGCGGGGCAGCAAAATATATATTCCTTTTTCATGAATACATGTATTTAGAGTTCACTTTATTATTATGATAGAGACACTGGTAGGCTTCCGCATTGTTTCAACACTGTAGATATATCAATAAAAACTTATTCAACTCATCGCTGTCTCTGTTTCACACTCTGTCTATCTCTAGTGGTCTTTTGTTTTACTTGTGGAGGAACATGGATTTTGGGGTATTTTACAGGGTGACTTTGGGATTTTGTTTTATCAGGGATTTTTCAGTTTTCCAATAGGGAACACCAGAATTCCTGCTAGGGAGGTCCATGGCAGGACCCTGCCTGCTCAGAGGTGGCACCTTGGACCTAGCTGGCTGTGGCTGACCTCCTGGCCAAATGGGGCCAGGACGACATGTTTTGACAGTTCAAAGAAGGCCAGCACACCCAGAATATCTTCCAGGTGATAGCTACCCAGATGGCCGGGCAGGGGGCACACATGACAGTAGTGCCGCACAAAGGCCAACTCTACAGCCACAGTCCACTGTGCAGTCCCCATCTGGGTCTGGCAGGTACACAGCAGGTCACAATCAGGCAGCACCCTCCACTGCCAGGCTGCTGCAGTGAGTAACAAGTGCAGGGAACTCTCAGGGCTTCAGCAGCCCAGCTGGCACAACAGGCAGTGTCCCCAAGTACCAATTGGCTGGGCCCCAGAAGCTCCTGACTATTTGTATCACTTAATTATTGTGGGCTTTGAGGCACACGCAGCTAACTAATAGCTCCTAACGTATAGGGCCAATGGATGGATGACACAACAAAATACTTGGGACAACTAACGAAAAAAACAAAGATACAAGTGTCATGTGGGTCAAATGGTCAACAGGAAAATAAATGCTCCTCAGGGGGACACCAAGCAGAGTCCCCTGATCTGCATCCACTGGTACTCAAAGGCATCCAAGGAGCCGGTGGATGCTGCCCACGGGTGCTGCACCCAGAGATGAGCACGGAGAAGTAAGAGGAAAGTGTCCCCACAGTCTCTGGGCACCTTCCCAGCCAAAGCCTCCTTCCTGGTCAAATACAGGGCCCACTTGACCAGGGCCAGGAGGAGGTTGACCAGGAGGTCTCAGGACTTGGTGGGGCCATGGATGGGGTCGCCAAAACCAAAAAGGTGCAGCTGAAATTCAACTAGAACCTCAAGAGGAGTCTCTGGAGGTGGAGGGGCTGCAGCCTGCCACACTCAAGGGTCATGTACACCAGGGTCTCCCCCTGCCCACAGAAGGGGCAGGAGACTGAGGTGTCTGAGAAGCTTGCCAAATACACATCCATGGTGACGGCTCCATGGAGGAGCCACCAACTAAGGTCTCCAGTAGCTCAGGGGGTGAGTGTGGAGTACAGACTCAGCCACTGGGGTTCCCCAAGAATGCTCTTGTTGAGTAGGTCCCACCACTTGGTGACTGGGTGGGATACGAGGGCGGCATGATGGACAGTGCAGCACACGAGTGTGTAGAGGTGGTGGCAAGGTGGGGTGCATGTAAAGGAGATGGGCGCATAGGTGGTTTTCTCTTCTATCCTACCAGTGAGTGGACGTGGAAGACGGCATGCAACGTGCATCATGCAGACCAACTGGCGGCTTCAGGAATGGTGTCTTGAGGTGGGCTTTGGCTTCCTCAACCATGACCGGCACATCACGATGAAAGACATGCTTGGATGGGATGGGATCCACCTTTCCCCAAAAGGTAAGCGTGTGTTTTCTTCTAGGTTGGTGGACTTCCTCCGGTGGGCTTTAAACTACGCTTGTCAGGGGAAAGGGAAGACGAGGGTGGAGGAATCATCAGACTGCCAGACCA